GGGGAGCGGGACAGACGGGAACAGGCAGCAGAGGGGCCACGGGCGTGGGGAGGGGAAGACGCAGACGTGTGTGGAGATGGAGCCTCAGAGACCAGGATAAAGAGCACCTGAAGGGAAGTAGGTTTCAGGAGTCATGGTCCAGGTGTAGGACAGACAGAGAGAAAAGGGGAGAAAGAGCAGGGAGAGGGGGGCACAGGAAAGGACCACAGTGGAGGGAAAGGGAGCAGGAGACAGAGACAGAGCCACAGACAGAAATACATGTAGTGGGAGGAGGGAACCCTGATCTGGGTGAGAGGTGGGCTGATGGGGTGTGGATGGTTAAGTTGTGATATATTGGTTTGTGGGTTTTATGTGTGTGTGTTTATATAGGTATTTAAAGATACTACTATTGATCTGGAGGCAAGGAGAGTGAGAGAGTTAGAAACATCAATGAGGAGAGACAATCATTGATCAGCTGCCTTCTACACGCCCCTCACTGGAGATCAAACCTGCTAGCTGGTCATATAACCTGACTAGGACTGTAACTGGGATCTCCTGGTTCACAGGGCCAATACCAACCAGTGAGTCATGCCACCTTGGTGTGCCTTTATATATTTAATTTAACAGCTTAATTGTCTTAGTTATACAGATTGAATGAGACTTATAAATCTCTAGTGTATAAGGCTTGGGAATTTTATAATAATTTGCTTCCAATTTCAAACCTTATTCACTCAGAGGGGAGAGACTTGTCTGTTGCTCCTGGGTCCCTTGTCATTTCTTAGGATGGCAACGAGGAAGTGACCTGTGTCTGTCACCTTTGATGCTTTTTCAAGAAATATTAGAAGCCTTAGCTTTTTTTGCTGTGGTTGTGTGTGTGTGTGTTTCTTCCATGGATTTACTTTTTCTATGACTGAGACTTAATATATTATTTAAAAACATCCCGAGATAAATCCTCTGTGTCTTCTCATATCCCCTGAGGATCTTTAAGAAATGCCCTCAGGTGGGCTTTCCCCCATGGAGGTGGACAGCTGCTCTGGGTGGGGCATCATTGGTTCCTGAGGGCCTCCAGGTGATGGAAGGTGAGGACAGAGATTAGCAGGAGGGGTGCAGAATGCCTCTGTGAGAGTGGGGAGCAGGCTTTGTTCAGGGAAAGTAAGGGGGTGCTCTGTTTGGTTTGGGGCATCAGGACAGCAGCTCATCTTCACGTTTTTGTAGCAGTTTGTCGATGTCTTTAGGAGGAGAGACACATGAAGACTAAATAAAACCCCTCAAAGTGTGGTCTCTATGTAGGAGCTCATTATTCCTCACTCTCTCCTGTGACCAAGGACAGGAGAGTTGGCCTTTTCCTCATTTCCAGGTCCTTCTGACTGTGAGTGTGAGGGGAGCTGATTGAGACGCTGAGCTGACGTCTTTGAAGGCGCATTCTGTGACTCCTCAACGTAGTGTCACCTGAGAAAACATCCCACACCCTGATCAGGACCAGGACCAAATGGCTGCTTCTCAGGTAACAGATGTGTCCTGGGTCAGAGGCTATGTTTGCTTTTCCTCTAACATCTGGTGATTTATTTCTCTATTTCTAATGTATTGCCGCTGCCAGTATTTTTTCTTTCCTTATTTCATTACTTTATTCATCATAGTCAATGTTAGCAGTTTCTAAATTTTTCTCTCTCTTTGTGTGTGTTTTTTTCTTTTTTCTTTTTTTCTGTCTCTCTTTTTTAAAATATATTTTTATTGATTTCAGAATGGAAAGGAGAGGGAGAGAGAGATTGAAACATCATCAGTTAGGTTAGAGAATTATAGATCAGCTACCTCCTCCACTCCAGCCTGCACTGAGTATGGAGTCTGAAACCTGGAGTGAGCCCTGACCAGGAATCCAAACCTGCTCTCCTGTTTCATAGGTCAGGCCTCTACCTCTCAGCGACACTAGCCGGGCTATAATTCTCTCCTTTGTGCCGGAGCTTTGTCTGCATTCATTTTGTCACCCTCCACAGGTCAGGAAGCATTCCTACCTCTAGTGACTTTCAACTACTCAAACTATCCCTTTTGTGACAGATCAAACTTGGAAGGCAGCCATGTCTAACATCCCTACTGGGATGGAGTCAGAGGCTCTGGTATAAATGAAGAAGGTTTTAGGTCCACGTAGCTGCAGCATCAGCTCTAGATCAGGGGTAAGAAGATGCACATCTGACTGCTCAGAATAGCTCAGAAAGTAAATTCCCTGTGCCTCAGTCTACCTGATGCTCACATGGCAGAGGTGCTCCTCTCACTGTAGAGTGAATAGTCTCCCTTTCTCAGGAACAAGGGTTTAGTTGGGATTTAATGAAAGTTATACAAAGACCATCACTTCACATCTGGAAATATCCCTCTTCTTAGTTTGTGTTTCCTTTGAAAAGGGAAGGTTTTACTTTTCTTTTCTACAGATCATTGGCTTTTGCATGGGAGCTTTAACTAATCAGGCTTTGATTCTTTACATTTTTCTTATATTCTCTACTCCCATCATGCACATCCCCTACAGTCTCATATTTTGTATTTTCTAGCAAGTTTCCAAGAATGACATTATTATTATTTTTCTAATTGCGTAAAGTATTACATATGTCTCCTTTTTTTTTTACCCCCCCCCTCGACCTTCCTCCGGCCTCCCCTACCCCGAGTGTCTTGTGTCCATTGGTTAAGAATGACATTATTAATGTATGTTCAGTTTCATTAAATTTCTACAACATAGCTCTCAACTAATGATACGTAAAAATTTTGAAACAAATGTACTAGTAAGAAAAATTAGTTCCCCCAGACTGTTGTGGATCAGTGGTGGAGGGTTTGATTCCTGGTCCAGGGCAAGTAGCTCCTGGGTACCTGTAATAGGCAGCCAATTAATGTTTCTGTCTCTCTTTCACATTGATCTCTGTATCTCCCTCTCTACCTCTGTCCTTTTCATGCCTCTACGTCCCTGCCTTCCACTACCAAAAAGTGAGTGGAAAATATCTCCCCACCTGAGAATATACAACCACACAAAGGAAGCAATAGGTCTACCTTGTTTTGTATCCTTATATTTCTCTCCGTATTGTGTTTATAAAACACAAAGGGGATCATACACAAATAGATTCATGAAATATATGCAATCACTAAAACATCTTGATTTCATAGTTATAAAATGTGTGTTTCTGTGCCTAAACTGTTAAAATTATTTTAGCTATATTTTTAAAATATTTTATTGATTTTTTACAGAGAGGAAGGGAGAGGGATAGAGAGTTAGAAACATCAATGAGAGAGAAACACCAATCAGCTGCCTCCTGCACACCCCCTACTGGGGATGTGCCTGCAACCAAGGTACATGCCCTTGACTGGAATCGAACCTGGGACCCTTCAG